TCCGAGGCCGCGGCCGACCATCGTGATCCGACCCTGTGCCGGAGCAACCCGTGCTATGGACATTCATCTACGCTCCGAAGCTGCCCGGGCCTCATCGTCAGTGCCTGCATTGCGAAGCTTCAGTTTGGCTTGTCTAATGGCCTCAGCTTGCTCCGAGACTGTGGCTAGGCTGCCCGGAAGCAACGGCACAGCTGAAAGTCAAGCGGCGGCGGCCGCTTTCAGCTTCTTGATGCTCTTTATCAGGCACCTCTGTGGACCTTTTGCCAACTCGAGGTTGTCGAGCTCTGCCACGCACATCGCCAGCAGGTCCTCCCCGGCGTACTCTTGACCCGCAAACTGGCTGATGTCCTCGGAGCACGTTGGCGCATTGAATACCGCAAGCAGGCACAACGCTCGTCATCTCCGACCTTGGGGTGAAAGACTCGTTGGACCCATCCAATCACCTACAAGAGACGCTTCAGAGAAAGCCAGGGCAGGACCAAAGGGAACGACATAAGAACGACGCAAGGCACCTCATTTGCGTTGTAGCTCTGAACCGCATCGTGTTGTTTGGCCAGCTGGCTCACCTTACAGCAAAGCAGGGGTGTCACTCCGAACCGACAAACCATTCCTGCCTTATCATTTTCCTTGTCGTCAGCTTCACCAGGTTGGACAGCCTGAACTTCTCCGGATGAGCTTAACACTTTATTCTCAGTTTTCCCAGCCTTGCTCGCTCTGCGTGCAATGAGCGGCTTACGCGCCCACGCGCCCACAAGAGGCCTCGCTTGGCTTTATGACTTTATGTTTTTCGCCACTCCATGCTGTCGCATCCCGCCTTGCACATGGCACGGCCCGGACACCAACAGCAGCCCGCACTGTCTGCACGGTTTGCCTGAAGCTGCTCAGGATCCTTTCTAACACTGGCTGAGCAGTGCCTGTCTTAGGCCCTGGCTGACACGCCCAAATCAATGCCAGCAGCACCAGCACGCGACCAATCTTGCACGATGCTGGAGTCCTTGCCATGGCTGCGCTCGTCCTACAGCTGTCCTCAAGAAGGCTCGAGCAGATGCGACTGAATGAAATCAAAGGAGCAATGATCCACGACTCCCTTCTGTTATCTTCGGTTTGGCTGCTGGTTCAGAAGTATCTGGGTGCCACACGCAGAGTGCGTTGACAAAGGACACACGATATCGCCTGCCAGGACAGCGACATCCAGAAGAATGCATGGCAAGCATCTCTCTCCTTGCACAAGACCCGGCCAAAAAACATTAGCACTTGCAACACTGAAGGCCCCTGCCTGTCAGCACCAGTTTTTGATATGCATCTGTTGTCAAAACCAGAACAGCTCCCTGCAAAACATGCCATGCGCAGCCATGAGTCATGCCCAAAATCATGCCAAAAAAACATGACAAAACCCGGCATACATGTACAATCATTCTTGGTAAAAGACAACTGGGGTTGTGCAAAAATTAGCTGCTCCAAAAATCGGGACATGGAAAACTCTGCGTGTGTACATCCACTTCTAGCGCTACCCAAAAACCGCAAAACGTGTGAGCGCATGGCCGCACGTTGGACGGGTGCCAAACTCCGTGGCCGTGTCGCGAACTACCTTCCTCCTCATGTACTCGTAGAACTCATGTAGTTGGACTCATGTGCACTCATGTTGGACTCATGTGCACTCATGTTGGACTCATGTGGACTCATGT